TAGGGGGTACCTGGCTAGTAGGCAGCAGTGTGGCGGTAGTTCTCGTCATTTAATTTAATTGTTCCGCCATTGCACGCGGCGGCAGGTTTTCTCTAATGCATGTCTTGGCTTAGATAACAACATACAGTGTATTTGTGTTTCTTACGTTTTTTTTCTAGCCTCCATAATGTCTTGCCGAGTTATGTATATATATATATATATATATATATATATATATATATATATATATATATATATATATATATATATATATACATACATGTAATGCCTACTGTTGTTGCTTCAACAAAGGCATGTTGTCGAAATATCAGCCCATCTCTATCTCCATTCTCCTTGTTTTTCTCCGAGGAATAACGCTATTACTACTGTCTCACCTATGCTTCCTGTTTGATCTCACACTCCGAAAACCAACCCTCACGCGACAAGTCGACATTTGTCTGTAGTCCGGTGCTGAACGACGACGGCGCCTGAGAAACTCGAAGAGAGAGACTTTCCTGCCCGACCAACAATGAATGCCAGTTTGCCATGCCATGCCATGCCAGAATGCCATTTTCATCCACACGCCAGACTTCACGCGCTTGACGATAGGCAGGTTGGCGCGAACGATCAGCTGATTGGCCAAGGCAACCGATGGCCGTAACCGCGTAAGCCAGGCTGCAGTGAACCCGACTTCTCATGAGACCAAGGGAAATATAAGCACGATACAGGTACATATAATATGGATGCGATAACAAACAAAAAAAAAATAATATGCACAGTTCGTTTCATCGTTTTGCTGAGTCTTTGGTTGTGGAGGTAGGTACGCCGTGTGCTCAGGGCAAGGGCAGCAGAGAGCACTTTACGCAGTGCTCATTGCAAATGCTTTTGAAGCGTGAGGCGCGATCGAGTAGGCGTTAGGTGTCTAGTAGCGGGCTGTATGTAGCAAGAAAGCATACGTACCTGTTCGCGTGCTTACCTGAGCCACTGCTGGGTACCTGTTGGCTTGAAGGAAACATGCACTTAGAGCCTGGGTGGGGAGATCTCGGAGGCAGCAAGGCCCAGTACACAAATGTCTCGTGCGAAGGAGGCGCCAACTGCGTATCATGTACAAGTAACACCTTCATTCTTCAATCTTCATTCTTCAATCTTCATTTGGGATCCACACGACCTTTATTTTCAAAAGGCCCCAAACATTTCAGAAGCAACACAAACGACCACAAATATTGATTTTCGATAGGCTCCGAAATCCGGGACGCCATAGCAGGCCCCAAACCTTCATTCTCCAAGGGCATCAAATCTCCAGAATACAGCAATGTTGTGCCTCCCAACTTGACGAAATCCTGGATTGGCCCCTTGGCCTGTTGGGCACCAAAACGGTCATTTTAGGGCATCGCAGCTTCCATTTCGGGGGGCCATAACGTTTATTTTAAACGGGCCCTTTATCAAAGTGGGCCATTCAAATTCCTGAAAACTTTGGTTTTAAACAAGGATCAAAATCCATCGACACCACAATCTCTGTGCCCTTCACCTTGGCAAAATTCTGGATCGGTCTGATCCACGAGGGAGCACCAACAAGCTTCATTACCGGGTATCATAGCTTATATTTTCCACAGGCACACATTTCCTGGGGCACCACCCGGCGGGGCGGGTCCAGAGAGGGAAGGGCCATGGGACCATGCTAATTCCTCTTGGGCCCCATGAGGTTTTGATGCTCCGAAGAGGCACCCAATCTCATGGGGAAGGGGCGACAATTCCTTGATTTCGGAACCACATAACCCGTATTTTTATGGGACACTAAATTGCGGTAGCACCACGACGTCCATGTCTTGTCTCTTAAGGAAATCCTGCGTCGGCCCATTTTGCGAAGGGGCACCATAACATTTGTTTTGCAACCCCTTATTTCGGGGCACCATAACATTTGTTTTCAAGAAGCACCCAATTCCAGAGGGTAACAGAAAGGGCCCTAATCCTTTTTTCTGAAAGATACATGAATTCCAGGTACATAACTATGTTCAGCTTTCTGCACCGATAAAATCCTGGATCGGAACACTGGGCGAGGAGGCGCAAAAACCTTGCTTGCGAGGCGTCATCATCCTTGTTCTCAAGAGACGCTGAATCAAGGCGGGCTATTTGCAAAGCCCAAAACCAAAATTTTAGAAGGGCACCAAAATCCAGGGCTATTACGATTGGTATGCCTTTCAATGAAAAAATATCGATCGGACCGTTCTGGAATGGAGTACCCTGTTCGGGGGAAACAGGCACTAACAGCCATGTTTATCATTGGGGCTTTACGACGCACTGACCTGCTGAGGGCATATGGCGTCACCTACCCTCACCCTAGCAGGAAGGGCGGGCACCAAGGGGAATCGAACCCCGTTTCTTTGGTTTCCCAGACGCGCAGTAGTTGGCGCAGGCGCGTAACTACTATCTTGCGCGTGCTGATCAGCAACCCTCATGTCGGCGCATTATAGCATTTATTTTCAAGACACATAACTCCAGGAGTCATCGCAATGCTCAGGCCTGTCCTCAAACGAAATCCTACATCAGCGCATTCGGCCAAGGGGCACATTTCTTTCGGGCCACCTCTGCATTTTTTTTTTACTTGAGACACCAAATGCAAGTGGGCAATCAAAAGAACGATTAGAAGTGGACCAAAACTTCTCAGGTACAATACAGGTGCACCACATTTTCCTTGGCTTGCGCTCTGGCGAAATCCTTGCTCGGCACCTTCGATGAAAAGGCATCAAGAACCTTGATTCCGGTGCATACTAACATTTGATTTTAAGAGGCACTCAATTTCAGTTGAAACACGGTAGCGGCACGGGGTCAACACCTCGTCGTGTGGGTTACCAATAGGTGGCGCCAACGAGTGTTGTTATTGTGTTCAACCTGACAGCGTAGTGTTCTTTACTCTTCGTGATCCGCCCCTCCCTGGACGCGCTTCCCCGTCAGTTCGGGCCGGCATCACCTCAATGCCGGCACCGATGTTTCAAACCGGACCAGCACGACCAACGCAGCAGTGCTAGTCCCGGCCACTCGGCCGCAACCAGCCGGTTCACAGCCCGAGTCCTGAGGTGCGGGTGATTACGCTTGTGTTGCACTGCATGGAGGCTCGGATTGTCTTCTGAAGAAAACGAAGGGCAACTACTGCCACCTTTTCTCTTTCGTCGCCGAAGACAATGACGTGCGCATCAACACCACAAATGGCCCAAACACTCCTTTTAAAGCGATATCAAATTCCAGGGACACTTAAAATGGCCCTCGAAGTTTTATTTTCACGGGGAACCAAATAGAGCACTACTCGCTCCACCCTTCCTGTCAATGCAGGAGAGGTTAAAGTCACAATTGGGGGGGGGGGGGGGGTGAGAGGAGGGCAAATTGGACATTAGGGAGGGCGGTGGCAATGGCCCACCCAAAAGAATGCTAATCGAGACCCATGCACGCGATTGACTTGTTTCCACGAATGTGCGAGATTTGTTGGTGATATGCCAGCACTTTTCAGCCTGCACAGCGCTCGAAAACGTGTTTCGAATGCGCATAGACAAGTCAGCTTCCTGGATTATAATTTTCAACTGGATCCCGCCTTGTTTTTTTCCATTGGTTTTCTTGCTTACCACTGGCTTACTTGCTTTCATACTAGCAGAAAACTGTTTTGTTGCACGCCGCTTTTGATCGCTGGCAAAAGTACGGTGGTTTCCTGTGCAGTGTTATTGATATGGTTAGAAATGAACCAGTCTTCAGAGGGGCATTCTGTTGAGGGGTGCTACTCTGAGACTCGGTTCAGTTGTCTCCGTGTTTTTATCGAGCTGGTCGGCTATTTTTACGAATTCAGCGTTCGTTTCTACCCGACGAAGCTCGAAGACATCTGGTTTTATCTCTCACAGTAACCACCCCTTTGGCAGAATGTTGCGTGGTGTCTACAAATGCTTAGCGTGTCCTGATCACCATTACTTGCTATGCTCTCATTGTTCACGAATTCAGGAACATCATTTTGAGATGTGATTTATATCGTGTACAGGCTCTTCCGGCCCCGCGATGTTTAACATAAGACACAATATCTGGCAGTTTTCCGTCTTTTCGGAACCCTTCACGGTGAATTTTGGAGCTTGCAGGTTTCTGGGTTTGCAGATCTGCTCAGTTGGCTTCCGTGCAGTAAAAATGCCCACAAAATATCATCAAAAGCTTTTTCTGGGTTCTGTTACTTGTCGAAATGCTTCATACGGTTTGCCTTTGATTCGACATCGATTTCATCCACTGAAACACCAGTCTGCATACTAGCGTACCACGTCTTTCTTTAAGCATTCTATGTGGCATCGAGCAAAGCTGTCTACAATTCATTGGTTCCTACAGTACAGTACAGCGTCATCTTGTATAGTACAGTTTACGAGCTTGGGATTGTCTATCTCTGAGCATGGCATTGGCCCATATCGCCATCGTACATTGGCACGGTCAACTTTTTCCGCCCTATGTGCACTCGCCTGAATTATCCTGGCGGGTAGACGTTGATACAGGATCCCATGGGAGCTCAGTTAGGCACGATGAAAGCCATTACGCTCAGAACCTTTACGGTGTTCGTGAAACTCACGACGTTCCACCAGTGCTGCGTGGGGGTACCTTGAGTGGGCTGCCGGTGCCGATTTCAGCGAAACTGCAGGAAGCTGACAATATGTGCGCGTACATGATAATCTCGAGCTAATACGATCACCACGACTTTTTAATTTGTGTGAACGAACCATCCCTTGTCCACGATTATACCACGTCTACCATCCAATATGTACCACAACTTTCCACTCAACCTAAGCAGAATGGTTGTACCTGTTTTGTTTGCTTTCCCGCTGTTGTGCGGTTTTCCACACAGCGAACACTGCAGCACTGTTTTCCTGTCTCTTCTGCTCGCAGCCGGATTGTCTCTGTTCTGTGCCGTCCGGCCCCTTCCGATCCTCTTCCTTCACCTCTCGGCGACCAGCCTCGGTCGCCGGGCGCTAACGACCGTCTTGCTTCGGTCGCCTCCGTTTGAGCAGCCCGGGAGGCGCTCTCAGACGTCATCCTCGAGGAGGACGTGCGCTTGCAGAGGGAGCAGGAGGAAGCCGAGCGAGCCGCCATCGAGAAAGCCGAGCGCGAGGCGGCCGAGGCGGCGGCAGAGGCGGCTGCCGCAGCCGCAGCAGCAGCCAAGGTCAGTCTATGGCGGCGGCCGCACAGCCTGCCGATCGCGTGTGTGGTGATCGGAACGGTCCCTGTGGACGTTCCCTGCGCTCCTGCCCGCTTGGCGAGCACTTTTAGGTGGCAGTGGTTTCCTTGCCAGCTGTTATTTAAAGCGATGCAATTTAAACAGCTAAGCAGCTGTTTGAAGCCATTGTTCTGTCCCTCTAGCCAATTCAACGCATTATGGCGCGCGATTTTTATCATTTAAGACACCGTGCGCATTTGATTGTATTTAGGTGTACGTTTTGAATAACGCGGTTACAAACTATTCGTTTACGTCGTCATCCACAAATGATCGCCGCTGTCGGTACTGAATGCTTGTTTGGTATGAAATGTGTTACCGGCTTCTGTCATCTGGTCATTAATCGGCATAGTTCCAATCATTTGTACGCTTCACATCACAACATCCACACATGGTTGTGAGGGGTTTGGTCGGTTGAAATGTGATTAGTGCGCATAAAATGCGTTTGGCTCGCTGCAAGCAGTATTCCTGGCCGAAAACACCGTTCGAAGCCGTTGCCGTTGTGTCGGTGACCCGGGAAGGACACTACACGGCGTCTCTTGTTGGGTCAGTGTTGGATTCAGAACTCGTTTTGCCTCCTGCACGAGCCCATATCATGCGGGCCGTGGATTGAATCGGTGCTCTGTAAGTTGAAGATCGGTTGTTGTGAGGAACATCTAAACTCAGGGATAAACATAACTTGCTGTGCGTCCTGATTGCAGCAGCCAGCAGTTGGGACCGGGCCATATAAAAAACTCCACGATATTATATTGATTTTACTTCTCGGAGTAACAAAGCAAACATACTCAGAGAGATGCGTCGATGCTAAGGCTTGCGTGCTAGGTTTACCCTTCATACCATTCTGTAATCTTTTGCCGCCCAATGCACTTCTGCAAGTACGTTGTTCAGCCAACATGGTTTCCTAAAAGCATCGTTGAGCGCCCCCCCCCCCCCCCCCCCCCAGGTATTCTACCGTTCACAGTAGGTGTGGTTCTAGGCAGAATTCACCTATCGTTTTACCATCCTTTGTCGACGTGAAGTCTCAGCTCTGCTGTATGCACCGGGCTTAAACGCCAAGAAGCGATGGTTCTTCTATGCCTGCTCCTGCCAATGGGCACCATTGTCATACGCTCTTTTCCTTCGCGTGCGACTAGACATTTTGAGGGCTTTGTGAATGTGATACCAAAATGTAAAATGCGGCTAACCACACACGCACACACACACACACGCACGCACGCACGCACGCACGCACGCACGCACGCACGCACGCACGCACGCATGCATGCATATGTATGCACAAATGTATATATATATATATATATATATATATATAATGCGTATATGGGTGTCGATTTTTTGTGGGGGTCCTGCCCTCCAATATTGAGTTAGGTCCCAATCTTGACTTGCCCCCTCCCAACGAGTTTGGCTGGAATGCTACAAAAAGCGTAGGTAAAAGATGGCCATCAAATAAAGACTATCTCTTTGACTTTTCTGCGTAGTGACCTCGCCATGGAGAATGAAGCGGGCCACCTTAATCCCCGCAACCCTATAATTATTTCCTCAAATGATCGCTAATTCTATGTACGGGGGGTTAAAGCCCTTTGCATATCACGTAATTTTTGTTATCACGCATAACGCCATGCGCTTCTTCACGCAGCCTAAAAATTATATTGACGCCACTGATTCACTGGTATTGTGGATACTTCCATGCCTAGCGTTATTTCTCTGCTACCCATGGAAGCCTACGAACCTAGCCTAGTTTTGCCTGAAACATATACTGCATGGTCTCCTTACTGCATGGTCTCATGCATGAGAAAAGAAAATCGGGTAACAGAATGTGATTTTTGTTGCAGCATCATTCCTTCAAAATATTAGTTCAGCTATGAAATGGGATATACGAAAGATACATACCACGAAATAGTTTTGCTGGGACGGATTTCGGATCGGATTTTGTGCGGAAAGTAGTTTATTGCTTGCACTCCAGATCACCATTTCATTATTGAAATGAAGGTTTAACGAACCCATTTTGCTCCGGGCCCTTATCGAAATATCACGAAAGGGCCTTTACCGTGTTACGCGATCGCACGATACTCGGCGCTGTAATCAGGCTGACGCTGTCCAGCCAGCGGCCAAATGGCGCTCTTCGGCGAGCCATATACAAACGCTTTTACTGGAAAGCAAACCCTCCGCCACGTGTTTCACCACGTCACAAATGTGGCCGGAATAACTTCAGCTGACCTCAGGTCAGCTCAGCTCAGCGCTACCAATGTGAGGCTTAGGCAGCGACGATTGTGTTTTTGCGGCAATACAATTTTTGCGAGCATTTTGTGCGTGGCAGCGAACCGGCTTGTAGAAAGGTAGTGCCGGTTAACTGCCACATCACAAGCTTTTTCTGTCCAAAAATATCACATGTGGCCTAGGAATCAGCAATGAATAGTAGAACTCCGATGCATGTATGCCAACATTGATAATAACGTTGGTTTTGTTTTTACGCATGCATACTTTTGCGGCCAAAATACGTGACAGGGTTTCATTGGTATTCCTGTGGTCATTACCATTTCAGATGTTTAGCTGTATTCTTTTACAATTTCCAGGAGTTCACCGATTTGGGTTTAAATGAAATCATCAGACTGTTAGGGAAAAGTGCATCGTCGTGTGCAGCAGAACTTTTTTCATCATGCGCAATCGTACAAGTTTAAGTCAAACTTATTGTGTAAACTGATCTGTTATTACTGTGTGGTGCTGAGGGAGACCTAGCCCTCATGAATTAAAATATCTTACAAAATATGACGTACAGCCATTTGATGGAAATTTACACAAGCAACAGACGCTGTTCAGACCTCAGGATATGACAAAAATTATAAAAAAACGAGGGGCAGAAACGAGCGAACCAGAAACACTGAATTTGCAAGGTACCGAAGCCTGTGTATGAACTCATTTGTGCCAATTTTTTACGTATACAAGGTCAACTGATCACGACGCGCTGGGTTAGGGAGGGGGGGGGGGGGTCAATTGGACCTCTGGGATAAAAAGAAGGGAATCAGAAACACTAACTTCACAAGGCAAGAAGGCCGGTGTATTAACTCACGTATATACACTTACAGGTATTTAAGGCGCATCCACGTGGTGGTTACTCTGCGCCCAGTCGTACAATAAAAAAGAACCCACACACAGTACAGAGATACACACATACTCTTAGATACACAGTTTCAGTCAATGCGCCAGCGATTTAAAACAGTCAAAAATGCCCGGTACAAGGGTGCGGACGGCCGCCGCAGGCAGCCGGTTCCACGCGGCGGCAGCGCGGTACGGAAAGTGCCGCTGGGTGGCGTTCAGTCGGACGAGCGGCGGATGCAGCGAGCCGACACCGCCCGAAACGGCCCGAGTTTGGCGTTGGGAAGACTCGGCGCGCGTTACGAACAGAGCACGGAGTGCATTGGGAGATCCGGGGACGTGCAGTACCCTGTACACCTTCAGACACTCTCGGTGGTGCACAAGATCCGCGACACTACGCCAGCCGAGCGCCTCTAGACCGGGCGAAATGTGATCGCTGCGGCGGACACCACTCACTAGCCTGGCTGCGAAGTGCATCACCCTTTCCACCCCGTCTAGGTGACGCTCGGCCGCTCCACCCCCTACGGATGGGCAGTAGAGGATGCGGGGAAAGACGTAGATTTGGACAAGGAGCTCAGGAGATAAAAAAGAACCTTGGGAGTGAAGTGATGTCGGATTTTGAACGGGGATACGAGGATTACATTACAGCACCGGACGAGGGAGGAGATGTGGGGTTCCCAGGTGAGGTGGTGGTGGAGGAGTACATCCATTACCTTCACTGAAGATGATGGACGAAAAGTTGTGCCGAAGATGGTAATATGAAAGTTGCCAGTCTTTGTGACAGAGGGTTTGGTGCCGATCAGCATGAAGTCGGTCTTTTTGGGGTTCATTTTAAGGTTATTTGACTGAAACCAACTTTGAAGGCACTGAATTGACTCCTAGACACGGGCATTCAGGTTGGATGGGCTGACGACATCGGGGGTAGCGAAGTCAAGGAGTTGGGTATCATTGGCGTAGGAAAGGAGGCGGCCGTGGGGTGGTAAGCTGGATAGGTCTTTGATGAAGATGAGAAACAGAATTTAGCCGACAAGGGATTCCTGGGCCACCCCGTGGGAAAGAGATAAGGTAACCGAGCCACCACCAGCCACCAGCTTTCGACCGCTCAGGTAGTCCCGGAACCATTCCGAGGACACCCCGCACCATTCCAGCTCGCTGAGGGGGACACCGTGATCAACGCTGTTAAAGGGTTTGCTAAGGTCAATCATCGTAATCGATGTGACATGGCCGTTGTCGACAGCCCTTGCCAGCCACCCGACAGCGTCGATCAAGGGCCACTTTCAACAGCCAAGGGCCACTAGCCTCTCGACTCCGTCGAGTGGCGTGAACGGTAAGCATATTGCGATGGCGTCAGTACATGATTGTCAAGAAGGTAGGAAGCGAAATGCTAGCCGACGACCTTCTCGGTAATTTTCGATAGAACAGAAATAATAGAAATAGGCTGGAAGTTGCCCAGGTCTGATCAATCGCCAAACTTGAACACCGGGGTAACGTGCGCGATCTTTCAGACGGACGGAAAGGTGCGTGATATGATAGAAAAGTTGATCAGATGTGGAAGATGAGCACCGATTACAGGGAAACACTTTTCACTGAATAAAGTAGCATGCCCTCGACACCGACAGCCCTCGACGCGGTAATCCTCCTGATGGCTGCAAAAAGCTCCGGTAGATAGGCTGAATGCAGGGGGAAACGCCGAGACACGCCGAGTGAGTGGGACGCCGAAGTGGGCATTGAGTACGTCCGCCCGGGTGCCCATGTCGTAATCGGGTATGTCACGCTCTCCCGCTGGCTGCAGTCCGAATTGCTTAACGCGGCTCCAGAAATCTCGCCGCGTTGTCAGCAGAACGCTGCACAGGGAG